AAAATACGTATTTTGAATTAATAATTAAACCAAATTTGAAGTGTGGCTAAAAGGACGTTTTATAGCAGAATTTAATAAATCATAGGTCAGCCTGCCTCCAGATTATATTTAAATTATATGTTTATCATCATCAGCCCCACTGCTCATAATGCTGTTAATACATCACTGTATACTGGGATTTTCTCTGGTAATAGATATAATATAGTGCCATACCTTATATAGTATAATATATAATAATTACTACATTATATTAAGAGTGAATATATTCCACAACAGTACAACTTTAACTCTATTTTGCATTTCCAGGTTGTTATTTTAGACACTAACTGTAAGATTTGTTAAAGTTCTGGAAGAGTTTGTCTTTTTTGTTGGAACCTGATGAACCGAAATAAACATTTTAAATGTGCAACAATCCAAACTTTGAACCTTTACAACCTGTCCCATCGGTTACTTTTCTTTTGTTTACCCTCAAACACCACCAACCATTGCGCTCCACTCCCGGTAGAGGGCGCTGAACCAACACCGTCAGCTTTGGTCACGTGACTGACGCACAGGTTGCTGTGACAACCATAAATCGGACCAACAAACATTTAATTTTCAAAGTTAGGTCTGTCCGGTTTAAACCCATTTAAAGCTCGGTTCTGTCCAAACCTTCGTGTCGGATCAGACAGGACCTTTACCGCTCAGTCATGGTGAGTCACAGGTTCTGTTTGGACCCGGAACCGGCTGGTACCGCTGGCTGATGTGTGACGTTTGTGTAACATTTGTGTGTCTGTGTGAAGCAACAGTACGAAGGAGGCAGAAATGAAGCTGGAGAGAGACACGGAACCGGAAGAGCTGCTCTACCGAACGGAGACATTTACGAAGGACAGTACGAGAACGGACAGAGACACGGACAGGTGAGGACAGGTGGGGACAGGTGGGGACAGGTGAGGACAGGTGGGGACAGGTGAGGACAGGTGAGGACAGGTGGGGACAGGTGAGGACAGGTGAGGACAGGTGGGGACAGGTGAGGACAGGTGAGGACAGGTGGGGAC